GTCCAGACTTCTGTCTCCTCCTTCCTTGCTGCACTTTTACTGCTCCCAGTTTGTTTCACCATGGCTGATGTCCTGGTTTGGGTGACATGAGGCTCTTGTTCCCCATGGATCCTTTCTCCTGGGGGGGTTGTTTCTATGGCTTTTTTTTCTTTTATAAAGCCAGCATGGGAATATCTGATTGTTGCAACTCATTCTATGAAGGGTTCTAACTAACGTCCCGTTTTCCAGGGTGCAGGATCCTGCAGTTACCACCAGCTCTTACCTCTCTCTCTGCAGACCATGAAGTTCCCTGGCTGGTGCAGCTCCTCTCCCAGCAGGAGAAATTCTTCCCTCATTCTGCATCCATTTAGGTCTGGGCACTTGGGAACAAGGACCTTTGTCTCCACTCTCTCGCAGCCTCTAATGTCACAGCCCTGCAGCTGTCAAGGTGATAAAGCGAGAACAGAAGCACTGCTGAGGAATTCTTGGAGGGCACAAGCAGTATTTGCAGTGCTTTGGTCAGAAAGCAGCGTGTGGTTATGGATCCTCTTGTTGCATGCCATTGCAGTAGAGCTTTTGGGAGTAACACTTTTCATGAACTTCCAAATTAGTTATGGATGCCTTAGTGGGTTTGCTGGGTGACTAATGTCTATTTGTCATGGTCAGGAGAGAGCAGTGCATGTTCATGGCATCCTGCTGCAGTGTTTTCCCTCAGCTGCCTCCTGCATGATCAGCTGCTGCAGCCAGAGGTGAAGGTTGGGTGGCCAGAGCACATTCAAGCTTTACTCAAGTGGACTCTGTGAAACTTGAGGTTCTCCTGAGGAAAATACACAATATAGGGGAAGAAAAAAAGGAGTATTTTCTCAAACAGAGAAAAGGTACCACTGGGTTTGTATTTCAAACTTTGCAGTTGAGACCTGATTTCCTTCCTCAAACTTCTGCAAACTCAGGGGGAGGAATTGCCTGTGCTTGTGCAACTTGATGCCACTTCCCTATTCTAAATGGTGATCTTCACATGAGCAGAACCATGGGCTGGGGGAAGCAGCTGTTCTCCCTGATATTTTTACCATAATCCATGAGCTGTTTCCTGCAACCAATTGTCCTTTTCTGGCAGAGAAGCGGTCGCAAGACAGTCAAATTAATTCATAAATCTACCACTCCTACAAGCCATTTCCCTGTGTCACTTACTTGCCCCTTCTGGATTCAATAACAATTTTTCTTCTCATCTTTAATTTTTCTCTGATCTGGATATGTGAAAGCACTAAACGAATTAATTTGGCAAGGTCAGCTTACTGCCCGTGGAAGGAGCTGGGTAATGAGTGTGCTTCTAGTCAGTGCCATCCAGCATATTAATACTAATCCTCAAATTCACCTTTTTGGCTACCTTTTTATAAAATACAACTCCTGACTTTCAAATGTTGTTACTGTGATGTGTTGCTCCACCAGAGTCTGAATGGATTATGAGAAGGATTTAATGTCTTGAAGTTGCACTGTGTTAATTTTAAGCTGTGTATCAGCACTGGAGATTTATTTTAAATCCTCAACTAATTAAAAGATTACCTTTTAAAAAAGAAATTAAAAAGTCTCCAAACCTTGGGAGTATTATGGTAGCACGAAAATGTGCCCACTTGGCAGAGAAGTTGCAAACCTCCTGGTGTTCTTGTGGCAGAGGAATCTCTTTTGAAGGAACTGTGTTTAGAAATGTTGAATTTGGTAATTTTACAGGCTGGTGGTTTTTTTTTAATACCCTACTGCAGGCTTCCTGGTCTTTCCCTTTTGGCAGAGCCCCCCAAATACTGTTTTTAAAGCTCTTCTGTGTACAGCTCATGATGCCAGGAATGGGGATCCCCTGCTCCGCAGAGGGGAATGCTGCTGGGAGGAGGAAGCTGCAGTGCAGCCTGCACTAATGGTCTTTACAAAACTGGCTTAGAGAGGTGATCTGAGTTAAAAGCAGCTCTTTTCTCAGCATGCTGGGTGGCTGAGGGGAAGGTGTGTGCTAGGTCAGGCCCTGGGGTGTTCACACAGATGAGTGTCCTTTGGCAGCCCCTCCACTCCCCTTGGAAGGGTCACGCTTTCTAATAAGAGTTTTTGGGTGTTTTTTCAGAGTGGAGCAGATGACGAGGCCTTGCTGAGGAGAGCTCTTGCTCTCTTGTGTGTTCAGGAAATCACCGTGGTTTCCTCTGCCTTGCAAAGGGGTTTGTGTCTCTAACCACAAGTCAGTAGCTTCTCTGAGAGCAGTTGGGCTTCTCACAGAGCTGCAGCTCTGAGCAGTGCTGCAGCCTCCTACAGCCACCCCTTCTGTCCCTCTGCATCCTCATTTCTTCTCATTTTGCTGTTCTGACACTTCTTTGAGGACCCTGGGTTGGTCCTCCTGTGCAGTAGTGCCCTGCCCAAGTGTAGAGGTTGATGCTTCTGAGCCATCCATCTCCCTGGCATTGTCTGTCTCTGCTAGGCCCTGGGGAGCTGCTGTGTTTGCAGGCAGCCTGACATCTCCTCCAGTTTGTACTCTGCTTGCTCAGTTTTATACGTTTTTTGTGAACAAATATGCTTGAGGTTGCTTGAAGTTATTGCATCTCCCACGCTGCTTCTAAAGAACATCTCATTTTCCCCATCCTTGCTCTGTCTGTTCCCTTGTTAGGAATGATTTTGTATGTCACTGTCCCCACCCAGGCAGGGGAAGGATGTGCTTTGCAGATCAGGCAGATAAGCCCCTGTTCACCTGCAACATGGTGCGAAGATATTTCTGCTCTGTTTGGTTTCACTTCCCCTTTATGCATCTGCTGTTTCTTCTTGATCCTGTTGACTCTGGCCTGAGAAATGTTGCTGTCCTTGTCCAAAACAGCCTCTGCATCCATCTCCAGTTCCTCAGCTTGATGACAAGACTCGGTTTTACTGTAGTTTGGTGACAGGACTGAGCTCTGCTGAGGGAAGGGGGAAGCCCATGGCTGCCCTGTTCCCCTCCCACTTTCAGGCATCAGAGCTCCCTCTTGCTTAGACAGAACCTCCATCATCTCATTTTCTTGCTGCCCTCAGAGCTCTGCCATGCAGTGAGATAATGGAGGTCCCAGATAATGGGTTTTAAAAAATTAGCTCCATTTTAGGTGATCAAAAGCAGGTGGTGGGGCTGCCTGGTCCCAGCATTCAGCTGCCTGCGGCAGGCACTTGGCTGCTGCTGCTCCTGCTGTTCAGGTTCATTGTGATCAAAACTGAGAGGTGAAGTTTGGGGTTTAATTGGTTCAAATTGAATTATTTTTTTCCCTCCCTCCAGTCATAAATTACTGTAAAAAACTAAACTAAGCTGACAAGCACTCGTGCAGCCTGCAAATAATTATCATAGGCTCCTCTTAGAGGATTGCTCTGAGCCCTGCCTAGCAAGAATAGGTGGTCACTGAGGTCTTGCAGTATTAGTTGTATTTTTTCTTTTGGTTTAGATTTGTACTTGTATTTAGCCTGTAATGTGACTTCTGGAAAATGTTCATGCATGTATGCTCTGCATGATTCTTTTTTAATTAGAGGAATTTAAATGGATGGGCTATACATGTCAGTTGGATGTATTAATTTTTTTAATCCTATTTCACATTATGGCATCCAAGGGGGATTACACAGACTTTAATTTTTGAATGTCTGCTTTATGGCTTTTCATCTATAACTCTTTCACTTTTAATAATTTAAAAAATTATCTGGATCACTGAGACAGTCTTTTTATTTTGAAACCTGAAATTAGCCATTGAGGAAATAGTGGTGGGTCTGTGTCTGTAACTTAGTCTGTTTGGATCGTCTTGTGTTGTTGCTAGCTGAAGTCTTCAGGTCAGTAGTCTTCAAAAGCCAGTATCCAGCATTATTCTGATGTTTTGTACCTAAGGCAGTGTTGAATAAGAGCAGCCTTCCTCATGGAGATGGGGAGGAGAAGGATGTATTGTGAGGTGTAACCTCCAAGGTTAGGGAATGTCATAACCCAGTGGCAGAAGGGAAATGCCACCCAATTCTTCTGCATGTTTAAACATGAAAGAAGATGACCCTGTCCCACACCCCTCCCTCCTACCTCTCCCATTGCCCATGAAAAGGCCATCACAGCATTCCCTGGAAAACAAAGGTGGGACCTGAATTTAAGCTCTAGGAGTGCAGGAGCCTCTTGCTCACCCTGGTGCTACCATCGTGTGTCTTCAGTATTTTAAATCTTGCTTTCTATGTGGGCAAGACTTGACCAAGAGAGATAATGATGATTAGCTTGAGTTATGCTAATTTCCTTTCTCAGGGGGAAGCTGAGGTGCTCTGTGTGTCAGCAGTTGGGGTGGTCAGGATGTGAGGCGGCTCCATCAGCACAAGAGCTGTGTTGACATCGCTGGATTTGTCTCAGTTCACATCAGAACATCTTGCTAGCTCATTTTCTTGGGAAGTATGTCTGTGTAGTGAGCTCAGCTTTGGCAGGTTGGTGGTGGCCTCTGTCCTCTGCTGTGGAGAGGCAGGGATGGATCAGGGTTAGGTGGCCCTGGCAGTCTGTGTCAGCAATATGTATTCCTGAAAAAAGTGTTTGACTCTGCACAGCTGTGTCCTAAAAGCTTTCAAGTTGAGTAAAATACTTTTATGATGAAAACAAGCAGACTGGGTAAATTCAATTAAAACCCTGGCTTGGCCATCTCCAGCTGTCCCTGGGCACTGCTGTGAGGCACAGACACGGGCAGGGCTGGCTTCCTGGGAAGCTGGGGCTGGACAAAGGGATGAGGCAGCAGCAAGTGCTGAGATAGGGACAGCAAAGCATCCCTGCATCCATAGGGGAAGCAAAGCCCTCCTGTGCTGAAGCTCCCAACCCCGGTCTTGCATCAGCAGCAGTGTCCAGCTAATCACTGCTGGAGAAGAGTCACTGGTTTATTTCCTCTCCTGATACGTGAGATGATTTAAATGTCATAGAATTGTGAATACTGAAGGGGTTAATGGAGGCTTAGGAAGCACCCTCCTCCACTCTGAGACATGCCCTGTGCTGTCCATGTATTACAGCTCTCTTCCTTGTTTCTCTCCATCAGACAGGCAGAATTGACAAGTCCTACCCAACAGTGTGTGGCCACACGGGACCGGTGCTGGACATTGACTGGTGTCCTCACAATGACCAGGTCATCGCCAGTGGCTCTGAGGACTGCACTGTGATGGTGAGTGTGGGGTTAAGGTGTCTTGTGGGCTGGTGTTTTCTTCATGATCAAAGTGCTGCTGTCAATGACACTTGTCTTTCTCAAATGCCCTGGACTGGTGCTGAGGGCAGAGTTCTTGATGATGTTATGTCGGAGAAGGTGCAACCTCAGGCTTCTGAGAAGAATTTCTTCAGCCCTGAGATGGCACTTTGAGTGACAGGCTTGGCCTGTATGTTCCTGGCTTTGTCTTCAGTTGCTCTTCCATTTTTGCTTCCCCTGGGGATTTGTCTGATGTTTGGGAAGAGGAGGGCAAAGAAGGAGTGGCAGTCAGGGGTGAGGTGTTTTGCCTGCAGTGCTTTTCAGAAGACTGATCTGGCTCCTGACCTCACATACCCTGATGGATGTGGTGGTGTGTGTTGGGAAGAGGTGGAGACTGGAGGGGAACAAGCCCCTCAGGTTTCAGAATTGCTTCAACACTTGATTTAAGGGTGAAACTTCCACTTTTTCCTAATATCTACAGGTTTAAGTAGGTGTCAAAAAGCACTTTTTTAATAAACAAAAAATAATCCAAACTCTGCACCTGCCAGCCTTGGTCCTGAGACCTGTTTTACCTCAGTCAGAGCCCACTGAACAATAGATGACCTTGCTCCATGATGGATGTGGAATCCTGTGTATGCAAACACAGCAGAAAAAGTGAAAGAAAATCCTTGTAAGATGAAATGATGCCAAATAACTTCAGTGATCTTTGGCCATATTTAGAAATGCTGTAGGCTGAATGTTATATTGAAATCTTATTATAGATCATGTCGGATAAATTCCTTTGCTTCTGTTCATGGTTAAAATGTTTGGGAGGGGATTTGTCCCCCAGAGGCTTATCCTGGGACAGCTCTTGCCTCTGATCTCTCAGTCTTGGAAGCTGAAGCATGTTAACAAAATGTACTATATTTAATATTCAACAAAACAAGCTTCTGTGCTTGTAATGCTCACTGCTGGGCTTGAACTAAACTTTGAAGGATCCAGGAATGTTCCTCCAGGAACCAGGACCCAGAAGGTCTGCGAGTCGGAAGGAACGGTCTCAGAAACACGAGCATCAACAGAAGCAGGCAGAGCTGAGGTCTGTAGCTGCCTTCTTGGAGGCAAAATAAGTCTCTAATCCAAGTGCAATGAGAAGCATGTTGTGAGGCTCCAGAGGGATTGAATTATGTAGAAAAACCAACAGTGTTCGATTACAAGTTGTCCAAATGCTCCTAATGTAGACACAAACTGTCTGCAAGAAGCTGAGGCTCCAACTGCGCCAACAAGCTCCGTGGGGCTTGGGTTGATGGGGGGTTGTTGCTCAGTGGCTGCTGCTCATCTGCAGTGAGGGGTGGGCTTCCTCCCCCCAGTCCTGGGGGCAACATGCAGGGACAGATACTGGTGTTGGTGTGTGGTACCCGTGAGTGTGTCCATGTCTGGAGTGGCTGGGAAGGTGAAACCAGTGGGTCTGTGCTGCATGGAGGAGGTAGCGCATGCAGCTGGTAGTTTGGAAGGGGTCAGGGTGTGTTAACTGGAGGTTTATGTGCCAGCAGCAGTGAGGAGGAGAGCAAAGAGGACTGAAGACCTAAGTTGAATCTCCTTTGAAGTATCACAGAACTTCCCATGGGAAATGATGTATCCCAAATCATTGGGACAGTTGTTGAGTGGGCAGCACAGAGCTAGAGTAGGTAAAGAACAACCCTGGCCTGGACTGTTTGGAAACAAACTGAGTGTGCTAATGAGCCTTCTCTATTTTAATAACTTTTCTGTCCTGACACAGGTAGTTTAGTGTCCTGTTTTCTCTGCTTTTCTTTAATCAAGGAGTCCTGCTTCCTGAACAGCCTGTCACTGCATAAACCCACCTTACTTTAAAGGATATGTGGTCAAATGAGGGTGTAACTCAAATGAGAAGTGATGTGCTAGCAGAAATCATGTGGGTTTCTGCAGAAGTGCCAGCTGCTTTTCAAAAAAACTCCTGTGTGTTTTTGGAAGAGCCTCTGTCCCTTGGCACTTGGGGATTTAGGATCTTAGCCTCTTCCACAACAGGTCTCTTCAGCATCAGCTAGACACATGGTGAGGGAGAGAGCAAGGCTTTGAGGTGCTGTGCAGCCAGTGTCTCCAGGATGAAGAGGGCTGATTCCCTGCAGTCATGACTTTGAACTGTCTGCAGACTTGGTGTACCACAAGGAAGGTTAACTTGGCCCTTGCAAAAGCTAGAAACATTTTCATTAAATAAAAACTCAGATCTTTAGAAGGTGGAAATACTCTGTGAGCTGCATGTGAGCCTTGAATAGGTATGGGACTGGAGAACCTTAGGCTAGGGGTGGAAGTGACTGGGAAGGAAGACCTTTTTCTGATGCTGCTGGGCTTTGTGGCTTGGACTGCTTTAGGAGTGCGACTCTTTGGAGCTGCATTGAGATCTACCTGATGAAAGACACTTGATAGGTGTGATCTGATGGTGTCTGGTCATACAGTCATTACTTCTGCTGTCACATTTGATGCATTCAGAAATTATTTGGAGGCGGAGAAGAAAAAGATGGGGGGGCAACACTTGGGACAGCTGACCAACCTTGCAAGACCACCTGTGTGCCAGTGGGTATAAGCACATCTCTGTGATCCCAGTAGAGGGAAAAGTATAATGGACCTCTCCCAAACATCACCTCTTTCCTCCATCCCACTCTGGGTATTCCTCAGGGCACACTTGGCCTCTGTCCCCTCCTGCCCTTGCCAGCATGAGCAGGAAGCCAACAGATTCCTTTTGAGTTGGCAGATACAACTGGCTTGAAGTGGTTTGAGATAGAATGAAACACTTGCAGTCTGCAAGAGCTGAAGTATTTCCTCTCTACGCCTTGTTCTCAGTTCCCCAGAACAGAGGAGCCCTCAGCACTGCAGGTGATGACTGTGGCCTCTCTGCCTTCTTGGCTGGTTTCTGGATGAATTTATCTCTCTTTTTTTGCAGGAGAGTGGACAGGGAATCCCCATCTCCTCCACTCTGTTGCTCTCAGAAAGACTTTCTTTAAAACACATGCAGATACCTTCTGTGGCCTCTTCTGGTGTTCTCTCTGAAGAATGATTTTCTTGTGCCAGCAAATGAGGAATTACTTAAATACTCATGCTTGATATTCTGCTGAATGACTGTAATGTACTGCAGGGTTTGTAGTTCAGCTGGAAAATATTAGATTATATAAAGGCCTGTAGATGGTATCAGGTGGCTTTTCTCAGATGAGGAAAATTTGCTTCATCAAAAGGTGAATATTAATGAGTTTGTGTGTAACGGCCAGAGTGGAGTTTGTTTGATTGAGCAAATTGTTTTAAAAATCTAATCAGAGCCTGAGACATCAACCTGGTTGTGGGCAGTGAAGCCCTGGCAGCAGGACCAGCTGGCTGTGGAGAAGGTCTTGCAGCTACAAGAAATGGATGCACCAAGTGCCTTTTCCTGCAGCCACGCGAGAGCAGGGGTGCAGATAAAACCCAGGGCTCAAGCTCACTAGTGTCCTCGTGCCCTGTGGATATAGGAATTGATGTTTCTAGAAATTGACTTCATCTTCTCTGCAGGCTGGTGCAGAGCCAGAAGAGATGGTTTTTGATTCTCTTTAAAAGGTATAAAAAAGTGCTGAAAAAGTTTTTCTTTCTCACGTGCTGTTTCTGCAAAACCTTTTCCCCCTCCTGCTCTTCCTCTGAGACCCAAACCTCTCCACACCACCCTGGTGTGACTTCACTTCCTTGATCACAAACAAACCAGCCAAGTGAACTTCAAAAAAACCCCAAAACCCCCAGAAGTGAGAGAGCTGACAAACTGTTAGTGATTTTGAGTTAATCTTGCAAAATGTGAAGTTTTCCTTGGTGTAGTCGCCTGGAGTCCTCTCCTTCAGCAGGGTGAGTCCTGCATCCAAAGTGAAAGTTCCTTAATGTGCCTGGTGAATCCAACTCCATCCCACGCTGAAGACAGGCACCCCACCCTGAGCAGGAAT